CAACAGACTCAGTGAGGCAGAAGAAAGAATATCCAAATTAGAAGACAAATCTTTGGAAATTTTACAGTCAGACCAAAAACAAGAAGAAATTAAAAAACTAAAAACACTGTTGGAGATCTATAGGATACTATCTGATAACTCAATATACAAGTCTTTGGAGTTCCTGAAGGCATGGAAAGAGAGAACGGATTAGAAAGCCTTTTTAGTGAAATTATTACAGCAAACTCCCCTAATTTGGAGAAAGAAAGGGACATCCAAGTACAGGAAGAACATATAACTCATAATAGACATGACCAGAAAAGATCCTTCACCACGACACATTATAGTCAAATTCTCAACAGTAAAATATAGAGAAAAGATTCTAAAACGCACATTAGAGAAACACCAGATTCCTTTCAAAGGCTCTCCAATTAGACTCACAGCAGACTTCTCATCAGAAACTCTACAGACTAGGAGAGAATGGCAAGATATATTCCAAGTTTTAAGAGAAAAAACTGTCAACCCAGAATACTGTACACTGCAAAGGTCTCATTTATGAATGGAGGTGAAATAAAGATCTTCCATAGCAAATAGAAATTGAAAGAATTTGTCACCACCCATCCAGCCTTACAAAAGATGCTTAAGAATGTGCTATGCACAGAAATGCAGAAACATGATATCACTGTGAAAGAAGATGAAGGCAGAAAATCTCCCAGTAAAAGTACAAAGGAGGGGCTGGTGCAGTGGCACAGCAGGTTAATGCCCTGACCTGGGGTTCCAGCATCCCATATGGGCACCAGTTTGAGACCCGGCTGCTCCACTTCCAATCTAGCTCTCTGCTGTGGCCTGGGAAAGCAGTGGAGGATGGCCCATATGGGAGACCCAGAGGAGGCTCCTGTCTACTGGCTTCAGATTGGCGCAGCTCCGGCCATTGCGGCCAATTGGGGAGTGAGCCATTGGATGGAAGACTCTCTCTCTTTCTCTCTCTCTCTCTCTCTCCCACTCCTCTCTCTGTGTAACTCTGACTTTCAAACATAAATAAATCTTTTAAAAAATACAAAGGAAATCCACAGTAAACAATAGGAATATTTATGTAAAAACAGCAGGGCCAAGTCGTTACTTATCAATAGTCACCTTGAATGTAAATGGCCTCAACTCTCCACTTAGAAGATAACAAAGTGGCTGAATAGATTAAAAAACAAGATCCATCTATTTTTTGCTTACAAGAAACACATCTCACCAACAAAGATGCATGCAGACTGAAAGTGAAAGTTGGAAAAAGATAGTCCATGCTAGCAGAAACCAAAACAGAGCTAGTGTAGCCATCCTAAAATCAGACAAAATAGACTTTAACACAAAAATGGTTAAAAGAGACAAAAAAGGGCATTATGCAATAATTAAGGGATCAATTCAACAAGATGTGACCATAATAAATACACCTAATTACAGGGCACCTGTAATTAAAAGAAATGTTAATGATGTAAAGGGAGACATAGACTCCCATACATTAGTAATGGGGGACTTCAATATCCCACTTTCAGCAATGGACAGATCAACCAGACAGAAAATCAGCAAGGAAACAACTGTTAATCGACACTATAGACCAAATGGACCTAACAGATATTTACAGAACTTTTCATCCTACAATTGCAGAATACACATACTTATCACTATATCATGGAACTTTCCCTAGGATTGACCACATGCTAGGCCATAAAGCAAGTCTTAGCAGATTCAAAAAAATCAAAATCATACAATCTATCTTCTTGGGCCACAATGGATTGTAGCTGGAATTCAACAACTCAAGAATCTCTAGAACATATACAAACACATAAAGACTGAACAATGTGCTCCTGAATGAACAGTGGGTCATAGAAGAAATCAAAAGAGAAATCAAAAAACTGTTGAGGAACAGTTTTTTTTTTTCATACTATGTGTTGAACTCTTTACTTAGTATAGAGTCAATCTTCTGTGCATCATGTTAATTGAAAATAAACTTTAAATAAATAATGAATGGGAATAGCAGAGGGAGGAGGAAGGGTGGGAGGGTGGATATGGTGGTAAGAATCTCTGTGTTCCTAAAATTGTATTTACGAAATACATGAAGTTTGTAGACCTTAAATAAAAGATTTCTGGGGGGGGAAATAAAACACACACACACACACACACACACAAAATAAATAAAAAAAAATCAGTAACAGTATCCATCCTTAAACCAAGATACAATAACTCTCTTTATGGCCTAAACTATGTGAGATAGGTGATTCTGTCATTTTAACATTTCAGAGAACAGATTGATAAAAACAGTGTGTGCAACAGGTTGGGAAAGCATTTGGCATAGCAGCTGAGATGCCCGTCTCCCATATCAGAGTGCCTGGGTAAAGAGCCTAGCTCTGGTGGCTCCTGACTCCAGTTTCCTGTTGATGCAGACCTTGGGAGGAAGCAGAAATGGCTCAGGTGATGGTGATCCTGCCTATTCACATAGGAGAGTTGGATTGAATTCCCAGCTCCTGACTTTGACCTGACCCAGGTTTGGCTTTTTTGGATATTTGAAGGGTATATCAATGGATGAGAGCCCTTTGTCTGTCTCTCTCTCTGCCTCTCAACTTAAAAGAAAATCATAACTTATATACACAACAATACTGAATCAGGTATTATTATACCATTATCAATGTTATATATTGCTATTTGCATCTCTACTAATTTCATAGGAATATATTATTTCATTTTATTCTGTATTTCTTAAATAACTAATAGTGGTAATTTTTAAAATGTGTTGTCATTTTGGTTCTGTTAATATACTTTTTCTTTCTTTATTATTATTAATGTTGTCTTAGGCCATCTGAATTAGTTTTCTACCAGGCTTTTTAAAAATTTTTATTTCCATACATGTTACAGATATTTTTATTCTATTGCTTGACTTTTATGTATGTATGATCTATTTTTGTACCTTGGAAAATTTCTCTAAATCAAACTTGTGGAAGAGAGAGCTACTAAAGCAAATATGTTCTGTCTAAATTCTTATTTAGCTTACTTAGTGGAAATTGTAGCTTTCCGTTTACATAACAGTAAGCATGGTATCTCTTTTTTAAATATTCTCTGAGTGTCATTTCTAATAAAAACAAACACTGCTGTTGTATATGTTCATGATATTCTTAAGTATTTCCTATTCTGCCTACACTTACCATAAGGAATTTATCAGAGGCATTAATGGAATTCTCAAGGGAAGACAGTTTAAATGATGAAAAGGCTATTAACACCATTTTTATTAAGTCCTTAAAATTATAGCAACAGGATTATAAAACTTCTTCTAAAAGCCAAAGACGATGAGTGCCTTCAGACTGAGGGGAACTTAATTGAATCCTCATAGCTCATTTTATCTAAGCTACTAGTACAGCAACAAGTTCTCCCAAAATACAATCTTGTCTAACATGTATGTGCCACACTACTCAAAAAAGAGCAGCAAAACTATCCAACAGAGGTTACTATCATCTTTGTGGAAGTGGATTAAATGCTTTTCAACAAATGCTTATAGCCTTCTTTAGATAAGCAGCAGCTATAATATTTGGTTATGTACAGTATGTGTTATGACAAAGCAGATATAAATTTCATGATAATACTAATATGTCACTGCAAACTGTTTAAAAGAGCCATTATTTATCTCCTTTACTATTCGATGTGAACAATGCACTATTTTTTCTGTTACAGAAGAACAAGATTCTGCTCCACAGGATTTTATTTTTTTATTAGTGAAGTGATTGTGCTTTAAAGGGAAAATTATAAGTACACTGAGTTGGTTTTTTGGTCTTTATCATCTGCTGGGATGTAAATCTCTGAGGTCAATGACTTCACAAAGTTCTCAGCATTGTGTCTATAGTGCAACACAGTGCTTGGACCCTGACAGGCAGCAATAAATATTTATTTCAATAAATAAATGAACAAAGGAATAAAACCAGCTCCTTCTTGCTTTTGTTGAAAAAAATGGTACCTGTTAGACTGGATTATCATTCAATGTCATTTTGGCTTTGATATTAATATGTAATTATTATTATAATAAAATTGAATAAGTTAAATTCTATTGAATTCTTCTCATATGAGAGGTACTATATTAAACACTTCATCCTCATTATCTTAATCCTTACAACCAATTTGAGGCAGATGCTATCATCCCATTTTTTAAAAATGACAAAACCAAAGAAATTTCCCAACTATGCAAAAAGGCAGGGACTTTCCTTGCAACCTCCCATGCTCCTGCCCCCTTTTTGCTACTTCAGTTACTTGTCCAAGGCCACATTGCAATTTAACGAAACAGCCAGGATTACAATTGTTTTCCAGATTATCCGGTGAAAACAGTTTCCTTAACGTCAGAGAGACTTTGATGTGCTTCAGAATCACTTGCAGAATTTTTTTTTTCCATTTGAGAGGTAGAGAGAGGGAGAGAGAGCGAGCTTATCTACTAGTTCACTCCCCAGATGGCAACAAAGACTGGGATTTGGCCAGGAATGAGGCTAGGAGCCTGGAACACAATTCATGTAACCCATGTTAAGTGGCAGGAGGCCAACTACTTGAACCATCACTACTGCCTCCCAAGGTTTGCACTGACACAAACTCAACAGAATCAAACCCAGGCATTCCGGCATAGGATGTGGGCATCTTGACCACTGTACTGAATGCTTGCTCCCCTCTACAGATATTTTCAGAAAAAATAGATCCCTATCAGAGTACCTGGGTCAGAGTCCCTGCTGTACTTCCAATTCCAGCTCCCTATTAGTGTGCACTCTAGAAGGCAGTAGGTAATAGCTCAAGAACTTGAGTTCCTGCCATGCACATGGGAGATCTGGATTGAGTTTCAAGCTCCCAGCTTCAAACTTGCTCAGCTCCAGCTGTTGGGAACATATGAGGAGTGAACCAGTAAATGAAATCTCTCTGTGTGTCTGTCATTCTCTCTCTCTCTCTTTCTCTCAACTTCTCTTTCAAAAAAAAAAAAAAAAAAAAACAAAAAAACAAACCCAGAGGTTTGTAATTTGCTCCCACTCCAATATTCAGATTCATTATACTGCTAGTGGATTCCAATCATCTGCATTTAAAATAAGCTCTCCTGGCAGGCATTTGGTCTAATGGCTAAGATACCCACAAGACATATTGGAATGCCCAGATTTTAGCCCCAGCTCTGCTCCCAATTCTAGCTTGCTGGAATAACTGGATTCCTGCTATCCATATGGGAAACTTGGATTGAGTCACCAGCTGTGGCAGAGCCCAGCCCCAGTCATTACAGGTATTCAGGGAACCAGTAGATGGGAACCACCCCCCCCTCCACCTCTCAAACAAATACATAAAATTTAAAAATAAGTTCACCAATTAAATATCACATTTTGCTGATTTTTTTGTTGTTACATAGTTAACCCATAAATAAAGTATAGACTAATGATGTCTCAAATGCTGGTCTCTCAATTCCTTCAGTCTTCTGATTGCAGACTTCATTGTAATGGTGGAAGTAGTGTTGTATATGTAGGCCCCACCAGTTACTGTTTTCATGCAGGAACCACATTGCCAGATCCCCATAACTTGTCTTGTCATCTTGGTTTTGCCACAGAAGGAGTAAGTATACTTGGCATGTTGGCTGATTTCAATTATCTTCACCATTTTCCAGAGGGAGGTGCCATGGCTGGTCCTCTGTTTACCAATGATTGTAACCTTCTTGGTGCATTTAGCCATATCACCACCATCTAGGTCTGAGTCCAGAGAGTCTGCCACTTTTGGCATCCACAATTACAGAGCAACTAGTCCATAAAAATTGGAAAGGATTCCAATGACAAATGAATAATGTTCAGACTAAAATTTTTAAATGTATTTGTTTATTTTCTTTTTATTTGAAAGGTGGGGGTTGGGGGAGAGATTTCATTGCCTGCTTTACTCCCTAAATGCTTGCAGCAGACAGTGCAGGGCCAGGCCAAAGTCAGGAACCCAAAACTCCATGCAGGTCACCTGTGTGAGTGGCAGGGACCCTAGTACTTATACTATCACCTGCCGCCTCAAAGGATGCACAAAACAGCAAGCTGGATTGGAAGTGGAGTAGCTGGAACTTGAACCAGGCATTCCAATATGGCACGCAGGCATCCTAAGCAGCAATTTCAGCCACTGCATCAAATGTCTGCCCCTGGACTAAGATTTTAATGGTAATGGTGTTTTTCATTGTGCAGCAGGGACTGCTGTTTCATGATCATGATCTGTGCCTATTGATGGAAAGCTTTAATACATAAGTAAAATTGTAGACTTGAAGGCTTCAGTTTTTGTCACAGTTTGGCTATTAGAGGGTGTCAATGTTGACAACATGTTCTTGTACCTTGAAAACATAAAAGAACAAATTTAGGAACTAAATACTACACTAAAATAACACCTGCTATGGCAGTATTTTTCCTCTTAAATTTATGACTATTAACTTTCTGAATGGCTTTACTATCAGTCTTAAAGCTTTGGAAATTAGCATGGTAACCAACAACTACCTTCACATAGGTCAATTACACTCCTGAAAATTTCAGTAAATATCAAGGTTAGGAAAGCAGAAAAGCAGGTGTTAAGAACAAATGGTTTCTGTCCACTGACATTGGTTTCCTAAATGATAGCCCTCAAAATCATGTATTATTTGGGTAAACATGTTGTCTTTTAAAGCAAGTTGCCCTGTGATTTGATTTTATGTTTGTGAACTTGAAAGAAATACCTTCCTAGCCAACAAACCTAATTCACCATGTGGGAAATAATTAAGAGACTGGAGCAAAATTCAATCAAAACCCGTGTGTATCTATAAATATGAGAAAGAAGCAGAAGGAGAGGAAGAGGAAGAGAGGATAAGGAGAAGAAAAAGAAGAAAGAATTATTCAATCAGGCTGGCGCTGTGGCTCACTTGGTTAATCCTCCGCCTGCGGCGCCAGCATCCCATATGGGCGCCAGGTTCTAGTCCCAGTTGCTCCTCTTCCAGTCCAGCTCTCTGCTGTGGCACGGGAGGGCAGTGGAGGATGGCCCAAGTGCTTGGGCCCTTGCACCCACATGGGAAACCAGGAAGAAGCACCTGGCTGCTGCCTTCAGACTGGCAAAGCACTGGCTGTGGCGGCTATTTTGGGGAGTGAACCAATGGAAGGAAGACCTTTCTCTCTGTCTCTCTCTCACTGTCTACAACTCTACCTGTCAAATAAATTAAAAAAAAAAAAAAAAGAATTATTCAAAGTCCTAAATTAAGAGATAAGAAATCTAGCTTCTATTTCAGGACATACAATTAATTTATTCAATGGGTTTCTCTGGATCTCATGTACCTTATTAATAAGATTGTGTGGTGAAGGGTGGGAAAGAAAAAAAATGGAGAATTTTGAATATCTTATAAATGTAGAGGTTTAAAGCTTTCTCTATAAAGGGTCAGAGAGTGAATATTATAGGCTTTGGAGACTGCATCAGCTGCAGCTACTCAACTCTGCTGATATAACACAAAAGCAGCCATAGACAAAACAGACACAAATGATTAAGGCTGTATTCCAATAGTAGAATAGAACAGAATAATAAACTAAATAAAATAAAATTTACAACAATAAGTAACTGGTAGGATTTGACCCACATATTGTAATCTGCCAACCCTTGCCTTATGAGTCTAAGACTATAATAATATGAAATACGCTAGTTGGGTTTCCAGAGCTATTAGCTACAGGATATAGTTGTTTTAAATATGCTAAGCAAAATTGAATAATTATGGTTTAAAATAAATTCTTATGTTTCTCATATAAAACATTTTCATTTCCTGATAAATTTAATACTAGGGCACACAGACACTTACATAGATTTAACATTTGATAATGTATTTTTCTTTAATAATACACATTGCCCTTCTTTCCAAAATAGTACTTACTGAAAATATGCCAAAAGTATACTTAAGGGCCCAAGGCCCAGCGCTGTAGCACAGCAGGTTAAACAGCTGCCTGCAGTGCTGATATCCCATATGGGTGCTGGTTCGAGTCCCAGCTGCTCCACTTCTAATCCAGCTATCTACTAATGTACTCACATTGGGAGACCCAGATGAAGATCCTAACTCCTGTCTTCAGCCTGGCTCAGCCCCACACGATGCAGGCTACTTGGGGAGTGAACTAGCAGAAAGAAGAACTCTTTCTCTGTCTCTCCCTTTCTGTAACTCTGCCTTTTAAATAAATAAAAATAAACCTTTAAATAAATAAATAATAGTATATGTACTTAAACACACATGGTCACATATGTCCTTATAAATATCAACTAACGGGTGCTGGCACTGTGGCATAGCTGGTAAAGATGCTGCCTGCAGTGCCGGCATCCCATATGGGTGCTGGTTCTAGTCCCAGCTGCTCCACTTCTGATCCAGCTCTCTGCTATGGCCTGGGAAAGCAGTATAAAATGGCCCAAGTCCTAGGGCCCCTGCACTCATGTGGGAGACCTGGAAGAAGTTCCAGGCTCCTGGCTTTGGATTGGCCCAGCTCCAGCCCATGTGGCCATTTGGAGAGTGAACCAGCAGATGGAAGACTCTCTCTCTCTCTCTCTCTTTGCCTCTGCCTCTCTGTGAGCCTTTCCAATAAACAAATAAATATTTTTTAAAAATCAACCAACTTACAGAAATTAGTAACTAACATATAAAATAATAATAATGTAGTATGTATAATTAAGGGCCCAGGCTTAAGAAGCAAATAGACTAGGCTTCATATTTTAATACTGTGACATACTTTCCCAGAGCATCTGTTTTCTCATCTGTTATATACCCATGTATAATCTTTACCTCATTGGATGATTAAACACAAGGATTAAGTATGATAACATTTTATTGTAATGAAAAGGAAAAAGGGATTAAATTTTCACATATGATACATGGCAATCTTTGTTTCTAATTGTCACTGGCATCTACTTGTCATTTTCCATTAATACTGGGACTATAATTAAAGCCAGGTACATCATTAGACCACTTAATTACAATTAGTAAACAACTGCTTTGGTAAAATTTTAAAAACTTCATTTTTAAAAAATAATTTATGATAATTTTTAGGATGAAGCAGCTTTTCCTTTAAATGTGCTGGTTCTATGACATGCCATTAGCTCATGGTTGATAATATATCCTTTGTGCTAAGCAAACTAAACTGTAGGGCATTTTCTTCATTTTAAAACAACTTTTATGGGAAGAGGCAATATTTTTAAAGTCTCAGAAGAGCAATCCCACTTCCAGTAATAATGGAGTAAGATCAAAACAGACTGAATCCTTCACAGAAAATAGGCACAAAATCTGGGCCTAATAAACATGGCAGCTGTTTGGATCACAAGAGAGTAAGTGGAAGACGCCCTCTGCTGGACTGTACTTGTTTGGAAGAATGAAGCTCTCTGCAACTCTATGAGGCCAAGTGTAGATGACGCTGGAGGCAATGGGGCCTGGGAAAGTGGAGATGGAAAATGGCTGGGGAAACTAGAAAACTGAAATCCAGGAAATTGCAGTCACTGGAGAAAGCAGATAAATTTTACCAGAAAAAGTCAGACAGGGGACACCCAGATTCTGCCTGCCTGTGTCCTTCACAGACCGCTTAACCACACTTGTATGGAATAGTTACAAAACATCTCAACCGATAGCAACAGATGTGAAAGAAGACTACAGATGCACCACTTCTCCACTCCCAAATTCCCCCAAATTCTTGGATGTTTGCTGCAATGTTAAAGTCACCACTTGGGATGCCAACATTACATATCCACTTCTCAACCAATTTCCTGCTAATGCACACCCTGAGAGGTGATATGTGATGGCTCAAAAACTTGGTTTTGGTCTGGCCAAACTCTGGATATTGCAGGCACTTGGAGAGTAAGTCAGCAGATGGAAGATATCTGTCTTTCTACCTTTCAAAAAAATAAAATAAAGATGTGCCCCACCCCACCTCCAAGAAACAGAGTTCACAGGTACCAGCCAGTGTTTTGGCACAGTCCTGGCATCTCATATAAAAGAACTAATTTGAATCCTAGCTGCTTTGCTTCAAGTCCAGCTTCTTCCTAATGTACCTGGGAAGACAAGAGATGATAGTCCAGGTACTTAGGCTTCTGCTACCAATATAGGGGAGCAGGACAGTCCCTTGCTCATGCTTTGCTGACACCTGGCTATTGGAGTCATTTGGGGAGTGCACTAGCAGATGAAAGATCTGTCTAAATGCATATCTCTTTATTTCTCTGTCACTCTGCCTTTCAAACAAACAAATCTTAAAAAAAAAAAGGCAACAGAGTTCATAATTCAGTCTTGTGATGCAGAATAGCTTAGATAATTGAAAGAACTCCATAGAACACATTAACTCAAGACTATCATTAAAGACAAAAGATAGGATAAAGCAGGAGAAAAATAATGCAGGCAAGTATTGAGGGTCTACAGACTTTCAGGAAAAGCTGCATTATTTACAATGGGTTTGTGTTTTATCTTGGGATTGAAAGACCAAGAATTATATCACAAATCTGGTTTTTAGGAGATTTGCTCAATGGTTTCCAGCAAGTTCTTTTAGGCCCTTCTGGCCAAGCCAAAAAAGTTTAACTGGTCATGCCAGGTGTCATTCATCAATTACAAAAATCAGAGTCAGGTACCTCCATGGGAGTTCTGAATCTGAAGTAGCATATTACATATTGTTAGTTAGTCCAATGTCTTTATCTTGGTCAAGAGACAGCCTGACTTCCAGATGCCCCCAGAGAGAACCATAGAATTGTCCCAGTCCATCTGTAAAATAAGTCTGTCCTATTCAAAGTATAATTGCCTGCTAAGACACACTCCAGAGAAAGACCAGAATCCACAATATCAACAACTTAACAATTGTAGAATGCAATTCAAAATTGCCTGACATATTAAAGTCCAGATAAGTGGACTTTATATCCCAACAGAAAATACAATTCACTAAGAGCAATCTTGAGGTGATCCAGGTGTTCCAAAGAACTTATTTTACCTAGTCTCAATAAGACAAAACAAAAATATAGTCACAATTATATCCGAAGATAGGAAATCTTGGCAAAAGATATGATTGAAAAAAAAATTCTGGGGTAAAAATATACAATATATAAAAAAAAATTGTGGCCAACGCTGTGGTGTATTAGTTAAAGCCATCACCTTCAGTGCCAGCATCCCATATGGGTGCCAGTTCGAGTCCTGGCTGCTCCACTTCTGATCCAGCTCTCTGCTGTGGCCTGGAAAAGCAATTGAAAATGGCTCAAGTCCTTGGGCCCCTGTACCCACGTGGGAGACCCAGAAGAAGCTCCTGGCTCCTGGCTTCAAATCAGCTCAGCTCCGATTGTTGTGGCCAACTGGGGAGTGAACCAATAGATGGAAGACCTCTATCTCTACCTCTCCTTCTTTCTCTGTGTAACTCTGAGATTCAAATAAATAAACAAAAAAGTAATGAACTTGAATAGATGAAAATAAATTATCCAATATGACAAGTAGAGAAAAAGAATCGAACTTGTTAGTCCCATGTAGGTATGTGAAAAGAATGTAGCAAAACAAAACAAATTTTAATTGAAGAAAAAATGGCTAAAATTTCCTACACTTAGGGAAAGATGAAAATTTGTAGAGTATTATACTGTTAAAAAAAACAAAGATAAAAGACAAATCTTGAGAGAAGAGAAAAATGACACTTTACATGTAAGGTAATAACAATTCAATTTACAACTTATTAAGAAATTATGAAGTCAGAAAAAAGGAAAACATTGTACATGAAATTTTCTAAAGAAGAAGCTGTTGAGGCTCAGGCTGAGGCGCAACAGGTTGATGCCATGGCCTGAAGTGCCGGCATCACATATGGGCGCTGGTTTGAGACCCAACTGCTCCACTTCCAATCCGGCTCTCTGCTTTGGCCTGGGAAAGCAGTAGAAGATGGCTCAAGTGCTTGGGCCTCTGCACCCACATGAGAGACCCAGAAGAAGCTGCTGGCTCCTGGCTTCAGATCAGTGCAGCTCCAGCTGTTGTAGCCAACTGGGGAATGAACCAGTGGATGGAGGTGTCGCTCCCCCACTTCGCAGAGGAACGACACAGGACCCTGCGCTGTTCTTTTGTCTGCTTGGCCCTTCCCGGGTTTGCTGCTGGTTCTTCCCGGGTTGGCTGCCGTCCTTCCACCTCTGTGGAAGGGCGGTTCCCCCTGCCACTTTCCCCACTTCCACGGGGGAGCGGCACACCGCCGGCCGGCTCTCTCGGGGGCTTCTCGGGGGCTGCTCAGGTGTTCCTCAGGTGTTCCTGGTGCATGTTGTCTCTCTCTTCCTTTATAGTCCTCTTCCACCAATCCCAACTCTGCTACCCACACGCCGAGTACGCTGCTCTCCTCCAATCAGGAGCAGGTCCTGCAGTTTATTTTGAACTGGAGGCAGCTGCGTAGAAGCTGTTTATTCCTCTCCCAGCACCATATTGTGGGAGAGCAGATGCATAGAATAAGTCTTAATTCCAGTAATTTAGTCTAGTCCGAGTTGCTCCCCACATGGAGGACCTCTCTCTCTCTCTCTCTCTGCCTGTCCTCTCTCTGTGTAACTCTGACTTGCAAATAAATAAATCTTTAAAAAAAAAAAAAAAGAAGAAACTGTCAACCCCAAATTCTGTATCTAATTAAATATCCTTCAAGAATGAAGTCAAATTAAAGACATTTTTAGATACAAAATAATAGATTTCATCTACAGCAGAATTGCACTACCACAAATGCTAAAGGAGTATCTTTAGGTCAAAGTATAATATACTATATAAAAATAATAAGATTCTCAGGATATACTGGTGCTGTGGTGTAGTGGGTAAAACCACCATCTGCAGTGCCAGCAGCTCATATGGGCACCAGTTCAAGTCCTAGCTGCTCCACTTCAAATCCAGCTCTCTGCTAATGGCCTGGGAAAGTAATAGAAGATGGCCCAAGTTATTGGGACCCTGCACCTGTGTGGGAGACTCAGAAGAAGCCACAGGCTCCTGGCTTTGGATCGGCCCAGCTCTTGCCATTGTGGCCATTTTGGGAGTGAACCAGCAGATGAAGACCCCCACTCCCCACCTCTGCATCTCTGTGACTCTGCCTTTCAAATAAATAAATAAATCTTAAAAATTATCA